TTGGGGGAGGCCTATGTTCAGCAGTGGACTCGTGAAGGGCTGTAATGAATGTTTTTTTCACGTGTTTTTGGTAAATCTGTCGAGTCTGAGTGAATCCTAGATATTTATAGCCAATGTTTTCATCTGCAGGTTCAATGGTTTCACCTGTCTGGAGAGTATATGAATTTTGTTCTGATTTGCCTCTGCGAATTGATTGTATCCTGCATTTATTTACTCCAAATTCCATTTGAATATCAGTTGAGTAGCTTTCCGTTATAAGATCAGCAAGAATATGTATATCTTTTAAACTACTTCCATACAATTTTATGTCATCCATATAAAGTAAATGTGATAGTGTGTGATATGTATTTCCGTTGGTGATTTTATATCCCTTGTCAGTTCTATTGAGAAGGTTAGATAAAGGAATTAAAGCCAGGTAGAACCAAAGGGGGCTTAAGGCATAAGGCAAAGATTGATGTAGAGGGCGTCTGTAACCAGTTTTGTTTGTCCCGACTGTAGTAATTCTGTAGAAACTTTTTATGATGAATTCATTTAAATTATTATCCCAGTGCATTCTTTGGTTACCGGTTACTTTATTATTATTTTGTGGGTGCTCATTGTTAGGGTTATTGTCTAAGTAGGTTTTCACTTCGTCACGTATTATTTGAACCTGTTCAGTAGTTAATAATTTACCGTTATTGCCCTACGTTGGTCACCTACTCGTCTGCTAACATCCATATTTGGGTACTTTTCTATAAATTTTGCATGAAGTTGGGGAAGGTATGACCTAATATTTTTTGTTTCCATAGATGTGATAGTAAGATATGTGCGAAGTATAAAGATATTCATATCCTCACTCCACTTCCTGCGTGCACATTTACTAGCTTTGGCAGGTGCAGAGTTATCGACGCTTGCCTTCTGCACAACATACGTAGCTGTTGACGAAGAAATCGATTCAGAAGCATCGGAGTCCGAGAGACTAGCATTGGTCGTTTGATATTTGCGAGAGATCCCCGCCCGGAGATTAATCTGGCCCCGTAAGCCGCCATGGCTAGGCCATGTTATTTTTATTTTTACTCATATTTGTTTTTGTTTTGGACAGAAGTTACCCACCACGTTTGTCCAATAGTGATGAGTCGCAGTAGACTTCCTAACTGAGCCTATGGGCGCTACCGTTGGTATGCAGAATACTCCTCCGCCACCGCCCTAAAACTGACATCCCACGCTAATGCCAATTGTACTACCTAAGCCTCGATAAGGCACTTGTACCTAAGAGCCCTATGTAGGCTCTTAGATGGGTATACCGCCATCGGTCGGTTCGCCATTGCTTCGTATGTTGACAGCAGGGTGCACCACGCGCAGGTGAGGTTGGCTTGGAGTCGTTCCCCCATTTGACTCCCTTACACTTACTTACTTATTATGATTATTATTTAATATTTGAACAAGGTCATAGGTTGTAAAAATCAAAAATAAAATAAAAGAAAGATTAATTCCCAAAATAGTATATTTCCGTAAAAAACACAGTTTACAATAAATGCATATAAAAGGAAAACCTTACTATAAAATGCGTACAAAGCTTAAAAAATATACTCATTAATACAAATAAATTACGTAAATAGTATAAAAGCGAGTACAAAAATGTCGCTTAATTTCAGTCATGCACAATTTCACTTAAGTTAAAAATTGTTTACCTTAAATTATAATTTCTCAATCTCATCGCATTAAGTGCAGTAAGCACTATCACATACTTATTTATTATTTTCAAGGTACAATTATGTTACTCTTGATAAGAAATTAAATATTATTATGTCTACTTCACCTGATGATGTAGCCCATTGTTACCTTAGTTGTAAGGTGCTATAATAAAGAACAAGTGAAATTTAAAAAAAATTGTATTAATAAATTTTAATATACCACGTCTTTTTTAATCATATTCTTGCATTGTCATCCGAAATTGAGCTAAACTCAAAATTTCAACTTTCCAGCTCATCGAGAAGTTAGGTTAAAATCCATTACTAAATTCCACCCGAAACGTCAAACAAACAGACAAACAAGAAAGTGACTTAATAAAAACGTGGAATAAATAAATAAATGGTTATGGCTTGGCTTTAGCGACAAAAGAAATATACGCAGCAACCCGTCTTTCTTTCTTTGTGTTATAATTAATAATAATATTTTAATGCCTAATATTAATTCAAAATTATAATTTAATTTTTACTAAGGAACTATCTAATTTCATGCTGAAAACGTAAGTGGAGTAACTTTGAATAAAACTGGTAAAAAATCATCAATATATAAATTATATATATATGTGTGTCAATGGGTAAAATATATTATAATATAATAATTTTATACAAAAATACTTAAACTAAAATACTTAAAACAAATCGTTATTCCCGTTGGCGCGTGTTGAAGACCCGTGCTTATCTCAGGATGTTGGTGTACCAATCCAAAATTATAATAACACGTTGAATGTTTATTTTGATTACCGTGTTATTATAATTTTGGATGTTTGGATGTTTCACAAAAAAATGTTTTTGTTTTATCTCTATAAATAAAATGAAAGAGGTTTGGAGTCACAAAGTTGGCATCACGGAGAAACTACTCGATAGATTTCAATTAGGTTTTCTAGTCTTATTTCTTTGACAGTTGGCACTTATCTAAAAAAAAAATATTGCGATATCTTCATTCAATAAAAACTTTTAAGAAACAACGGTTTTCATAAGCACTACGTGTTCAATAATGTGTGTTTTCTTGATATATCAAGCAACGCGGACAAAGTCGCGGTACTTGAAAAGCGATGACTGAAATATGACTTAACATTTCAAGTTGAGTTTACTTTTATTGTGTATATTTTACTTGTGCTATTTAGGAGCCAGCACCAAACCACCTTGATATAATATAACCAATGTAATGAGTAGTTACGCCAATAATTGTTCCGCGGCTGCATGTTTGGAATGTAAAACACCTCCACTATACTGAAAAACGTACTGTATTGGTGAAGATTAAAAAAAATGTATGAACTCTTATTATTGCCTGATAAATGTATGTTCCAATAAAATATATTGTTATAAAAATTACATTAAAATTATTCTAGTTTTTCTTACACTATAAAAATTAACTGCATTTTTTTTTAATTCACCAATTATAAATTACAACCAATCGATCATAAGAGATTAATTTCCAAAGGAACAATTTTCAAATAATACTGTTTCAAAAATAAAATAATTTAAAGCTGTTGATAAAAATTACTATGGCACCAGTTGATGTTAATTAAAAATATTAAATTATATAGAAATTTATCGCAGTGATTTTAAATAATATAATCTATTTTTAATCTGTGTGTAATTGTGAAAATAATAATATGAAAGCAATTTCACCAAGTCAACTAACTAATATAACATTGTAACTAAGTATACTCTTTATATTTTACCACAAAATAATAATTAGAAGTTACTATAAAATAGAAATAAATAAATTTATCGAAATATCATACATTTGCATATTGTCATTATGACAGTGAGTATTATAGTATTCTTTGATTTATAATGACTAAAAAATAAGGTAATTTCAGGTTGTCTTAAAACAACAGCTAAAATTTACGATATCGTTATAAAAGTGCTTATTTATTTAATAAAATCTTATGGAAATTGAAAACATACATGATTTCTTATTGACACGAATACTACAAATTAAATTAAACTAAATTTAAGGATTTCATCGATTTTAGTTTTAACTTTTTTGATTCCCGACGTTCCGGGCGCTTTACAGCACCGATGCATTCTGCTCGCATCAAGTCAGTCATGTAAAGAGTAGACATCAGACAAAGGTATTTGACTAGACATCGGGGCGAGCACTCGAGAAAACGTCAGGAATTAAAAAAGTTAATAGTAGACGCGATAAAATTCGTAAAATTAGTTTCATTCAATTGAAAACACATTATATAAAATATGTATATGAAAAATGGTAATAAAACTAATTCTAAACTCTACACAAAATGGAAGTCAGTTCGCAGTCTATGGTTTTCTTTTTCATAAATACTCTTGATAAATATAAAAAAGCATTCTTTATCAAAATATAATGGTTTCTACAGTAAACTGATGAAATATTTAATATCTAAACTATTACATTCATTACATATTGGTTATTTGTTCTTAATCTATACTAGCTGTGGTCCGGCATATGTTGCAATTTCCCCTTTTGTTACGAACCTTTGCGGGCACGCACACTTCAATCAGCAAAGTTTCATAATAATTGTATGAATGGTATAGAACGCATAAAAGACGTACAAACAAGCAAAAAATATTAATTTGTATTTGTTATATAATAGAAACAATGAAGCACCTAATATGATTAGAATGATAGTTATTTCTCTTATTTCTTTATCATAATCATCATCAGTACGGCCCTTCACAAGTCCACTGCTGAACATAGGCCTCCCCCAAGGAATGCCACAAAACACTGTCCTGAGCAACCTGCATCTCACCTCCTCGGGACAGATAGTGTTTTGTTTATAACTTTATAAAAATGTACAAATCATTAAAGTTTTCAGCTTATTTAATTTAAAATTCAAACGATTCGAGAATGAAACTTGATTGACATTGCAATATATTATGTTATGTTCAGATTGTCAATATTTATCATAAAAATATACCGTCTTATCATAAACCTTGGTTTATTGATAGTCTCGGGTTTAAGATATGGTTTAAGAAGAATCCTTCTAACTAAAGATCCTTAGTCGCAGCGCCACAGTCTACGTAAAATTTAACATTTACTAGCAAATTCCATACTTTACAATTTCGTTTACATATTTTCGCAGGACATCTTTCATGAAAATGATTCTATATAGTATAAACGTTACGACTAAACATAAACAATTTTTTGTTGTAAGTCCGGTATTCTTTAACTGAATACTAAATTATATAAAATGCCACATGGAACGTAATAAGGAACGTTTTTTCATGCTTAATAATGACGACATCTTTGCAGAAGCCATTTTAGGAATGTAAACGTCAAAGGTTTTAAGGTAGACAAATGAGCTGCTTCCCTTCGTCCATTTGAAACTGAACCTTGTCAGAGTTCGCAGCCTTGTCTGCCGGTTTGGAGAGGGCGCTCGCCAGAAAAACCTGTGCAACACCCGTCGCGGTCACGAAGAATGCCCAGCCTGGAATTAAATTAATTGGAATTAAATTAATGGAATTAATTAATGCGAAGCCGGCCTTGCTCTTTTTAACCGAGACTCAGGTGTCCTCTCCGGCCGATACTTCATATCTCTCCTACCCGGGGTACAAATTAGAACACTCCTTTGTGCCCCGGGCTGGAGTTTGCGTATACGTCAGAGAGGACATCTGTTTTCGACGCCTCGGCAGTCTTGAAGGTACGGACCTGTCCATCCTATGGCTGCGCGTAGACAGCGACGACCATCCCCGCGTCTACGGGTGCCTCTATAGGTCCCATAGCGGTAATGCCAACACAGACCCACTCATCGACCACGTCCAAAAGGCTACAGACTCCGTGCTACAACAGGTCCCATCCGCAGAGATCGTGATACTCGGTGATTTTAACGCCCACCACGCTGAATGGCTTGGTTCTTGTTTAACCAATCATGCGGGTAGATCTGTCTATGACTTTGCTTTGGCATATGGTCTAACACAACTGGTTACTTCGCCTACGCGGATCCCAGATGTGGAAGACCATGTACCTTCCCTGTTGGACCTTCAGCTGACCTCTCATCCGGACGGATATCAGGTCTCCGTCGATGCCCCTCTGGGCTCTTCGGACCATTGTTTGATCCGGAGTACGGTGCCACTCACGCTCCAATCGCAATTGCGATCTGCAGCTTGCCGCCGTGTTTGGCACTATAGGTCAGCTGATTGGGATGGGATGCGGTCTTTTTTTGCATCCTACCCTTGGGGGCGGGTTTGCTTGTCACCGGAAGATCCCAGCGTTGTTGCCGATTCTGTTGCTGATGTGGTACTTCAGGGTATTTTTTATTCCATCCTCTGTGGTGCCCATCGGTGGCAGATCCCAGCCATGGTTTGGTCGCTCCTGTAAAATAGCATCACGCTATAAGCAGGAGTGCTACCGGGCCTGGGCTGACGCATCAACGTCTTGGGATGTAAACACCAGCGCACTTAAAAAGAAGTATAACTCCGCCTCCAAGTCCTACAAAAGCGTCATTGCCAAGGCAAGGTCTGAGCACATCGGCAGAATTGGCGAGAAGCTAGTTCGCCTTCCTTCGGGAACCCGTGCATTCTGGTCTCTTGCCAAGGCTGTCCAAGGGAACTTTTTTCAGCCATCTCTTCCCTCTCTGCACAGAGAGGACGACTCACTGGCCCATGCCGCAAAGGAGAAAGCCGATCTGTTGAGCTCTCTTTGAGGTTTTAACGCGTCTTTTCCGGTACTCCTACTCCCAAGGCGTAGTCCCGAATTCATGGAAGACAGCTTTGATCCCCCCGATCCCTAAAAAAGGCGACCGCTCAGACCCATCCAACTACAGGTCTATTGCCATCACCTCCTTGTTCTCCAAAATAATGGAATCCATTATAAACTGCCAGCTCATGAGGTACCTTGAGGATCACCAGCTGATTAGTGACCGCCAGTACGGTTTTCGTCGAGGTCGATCAGCTGGTGATCTTCTAGTCTATCTGACTCATAGATGGGCGGAGGCAGTAGAGTCCAAGGGGGAGGCATTGGCCGTTAGTTTGGACATTGCGAAGGCCTTCGATCGGGTCTGGCACAAAGCGCTTCTTTCGAAGCTTCCTTCCTATGGGCTTCCCGAAAAATTGTGCAAATGTATCACCAGTTTCCTTGCTGATCGGAGCATCAAGGTCGTAGTAGACGGTGCATGCTCTGATTTCAAGCCTATCAACGCTGGTGTTCCACAAGGCTGCGTGCTATCACCAACGCTGTTTCTCCTGCATATCAATTATATGTTGCTAATTGGTAGCATTCATTGCTATGCAGACGACAGCACTGGTGATGCCTTATATACCGGCCGTGCCAATATTTCTCGGGAACACGTCGCTGAGTACCGGGACAAACTTGTGTCTGAAGTCGAGTCTTTACTTAACAAAGTCTCGGATTGGGTGCGACTAAATCTAGTCCAGTTCAATCCCCAGAAGACACAAGTTTGCGCTTTACCGCTAAAAAGAACCCCTTTGTCGTATCTCCTCAGTTTCAAGGCACTCCTCTTGCTGCCTCAGCTAGTATCGGAATCCTTGGCGTCGACATATCGAATAGTGTGCAGTTTCGTGGTCACTTGGAAGGGAAGGCCAAATTGGCCTCTAAAAAGCTTGGCGTGCTCAGCAGAGCGAGACAGTATTTCATGCCGGCACATCGCTTGCAACTTTACAAAGCGCAAGTTCGGCCCCACATGGAATACTGTTCTCATCTCTGGGCCGGGGCACCCCAGTGCCAGCTCCTTCCACTTGACCGCATCCAGCGCAGAGCGGTTCGAATCGTCGACGACCGAGTTATTTCTGATCGGCTCGATATACTGGCACTGCGTAAGGATGTTGCATCTCTTTGCGTATTTTATCGCATCTATCACGGGGAGTGCTCTGAGGAATTGGTCGGACTAATTCCAGCCGCTCAATTTCACCATCGCACATCGCGAAAAAACTCGCGTTACCATCCATACCATCTGGATGATTGGCGGACCACCACTGTGCGATTTAGAAGAAGTTTTCTCCCTTGCACAACTTCCTTGTGGAATCAATTACCACCAGCGAATTTTCCGGACCTATACGACTTAGGAACCTTCAAGAAAAGAGCTTACACCTTTCTAAAAGGCCGGCAACGCATCTGCAATTCCCCTGGTGTTGCGGTTGTTCATGGGCGGCGGTAGTCACTTACCATCAGGTGAGCCGCATGCTCGTTTGCCCCCTCTTCTATAAAAAAAAATATATTTATATATTTATTTTAATATAGAAATCCTTTTTTACCTTTAATATCCCTACACTAGAATTTGCAAAATATTTTGTGAAAATAATAAAAAACTTAGATTGCCAACCTACCTGCTAAGTGTGGCAACTATGGCAAGAGACATTCTATAGGGGAGTCTCATGTTTAGCAGTGGATCTTTGATGGTCTTTAATTTAAGTCTCAAGTTTAATTTAATCGTCAAACACATATTTCACAAAATGAAACTATGCTCACCTATGGAACAGTCGCCAGGTATGTAAGGTTCTGAATTTTCACCGCAAAGTCTCTTCACACGTTGTGCTCCCCATCCCCAAGGATATAGTAAAAGACCGAACACGCCGAACAAACCTAGAACATGTTAGTTATAAAGAAGTTTTTTTTTTTTTGTAAAATAATAATAGTCCCGTGGGTGTCGTAAGAGGCGACATGTGGAAACAAACTGGCAACTAAAGCAAATGTCCCCACTTTTGATAAGCTAAAATAAAAATAAACTATAACTAACAGCTTATTATTATTTTACAGCCTTAAAGTAACTGAAATCCAAAAGGGATGCATTGTTTGGCCTCAAAATGACAAAGAGAGGCACAAGCTCTATGGGTTTCATTTATTTTATGCATTCTATTAAATATATTGCGTACATGTTATTATATCTATGATAATCATCACCAGGTAAGAACAATTAAATATCCCCCAATTATAATAATAAGTTGTACAGGTGATTTTTTTTATAGGATAAGGGTGCAAACAAGCACACAGTCCACCTAATGGTAAGTGGTTGCTGCGGCCCATAGATATCTACATCTATCCTCAATAAAGAATCAAAATGCAGATGCGTTGTCACCCGTGAGGAATGCCTCTTTTCCATTAAGAAGGGTCTCCGATTCTCTACACTCACCATACGAAACACAGCAGCGTTAACCTGTTATTTTACGCTGGTATTCTGTGAGAGCGTGGTCCATCCCCGGTCGAGCCGACCCATTCGTGCTACAACTATACTACTAATAAAGCTGCAGCATGGCTCTACCATGTTTACGTGGTAAAGCCATGCTGCAGCCACGTGATATAGCAATTTCCCCAAATGATGCACCCTTCTAACTAACAAACGAGGCTTTGGCAGGCATAACCAAAGTAGTAATCATTCACCAACATGCCAACAATACCAACTTGGGGTAAATGGACCAATCTTTAATATTCCTGCAATATTACTGATTTGGCTTTGCATAAATTCAAAGGCGTGCAAAAAACATTCTTATGGACATAGATGAATGTTATAAATTAGATAACTATAATAGGTATATATAATATATAAGACAATAATGCAAGGATGTAATGAGGCTTCCTTAGATTTTTTTTAATTACGTACATATTTTATAAGGATAATTCGTAACTGTTGGGAGAAAATTAGGCGAAGTGTAGGTCGGCCCCGATGGCGGCCTAGATGGAGTGACAACCTGGGAAGACATGCAGGAAGTTGATGGATGCTGGTGGCTCAGGACCGTGCATAGTGGCATTACTTGGGGTAGGCCTATGTTCAGCAGTGGACCTGTGAAGGGCTGAAATTATGATGATGATGATGATAGGAGAAAAATAATCTACTTGTGACTTTGTTGCCGCTTTTTCTCATAAGGTCTCCCGCACTTAGGACTTGTTGAAACGATGGCGTAACCTTTGACTTAAACAAGTGCTTTGTACAAGCCTATTTTGAATAAAATTGACTTTGACTTTCCAATATTTAGAAAGAATATAATACGGTTTTCATTACCTCCTAGAGCCTGAGTAGCTCCTGCAAGTGATATTACACTTTTCTTAAACACAGACTGCACACAACAAGCCATCACTCCAGTTAGAACCGTAGCAAATTGTATTGCTGCACCTGATACAAATTTATTATTTTTAATAATAATAATTCAAACTCTGAAACTTTAACAATGAAGAATTACAAGTCGCGGCACATAAGTCTAGCGCTGAACGAAACGTGGAGAACGTCCCGCACGAATTGAATTGCACGAATGTGACTGGAGAGTCAATTAGCACCTGCGATCGATACGCACGAGCCAATCAGCGCGACTCATGCACAATAAGCCAATCAGCGCGACTTTTGCGCAATAACTGTCACCGCTAGACTTTCGTGCCGCTACTTTATAAGCAAGTGATGTTTAAAGGATATATTACGTACATGTGAAAATATTCAACCATAAATACAATATGTCTCTTTTGTAATTTTATCCATTTAACTAACTATCGATAATATTTTATACAATTTATAAAAGCTTTTAGAAAAATTTACTTCGCAAATATCCGCAAATATATCCGCGGATATTTGCAAAGTAAATTTTTCTAATCTAATCAGGCGTTAATTTCCGCAAAGTAACGCCTGATTCTATTATTTTATACAATTATTAAGAAAAGGGGTTATTATCAGTCATGTACTCTTTAGTAGTATAATAACCTTTACTAGACAATTTTTGCTTAATAAATAATTTAAGCCTTTTGATAGAAAAGGTCTGCATATTTTCTGGGACTTTGTTGTAAAAGCGTGTACATTACCCGATAAAGGAATTACTGACCCTTTGCAGTCGAGTAACTGGTTATAACTAACATGTGCTTGTTCCTAGTATTTACAAAATGTACATCACTATTTTTAATAAAACTATTTTTGTTTTTGTGTACATACAATAAGTTCTCGTAAATATATTGAAACCAAGCCAAACCAAAGTTAACATATTTATTTCTTCAAATTTTTTTCTAAGGGATTCTTTCGAACCTACGTTATAAATTGCTCTTATGGCTCTCTTTTGCAAAACAAAGATAGTTTCAATGTCAGTCGCATTACCCCATAGCAAGATTCCATATCACATTATGCTATGGAAATAACTAAAATAAACTAATCTAGCTGTTTCAACACATGTAAGACATCCAATCTTTTTTACAGCATATGCTGCAGAACTATGTTCGCTAACTAGTTTAAATATACTCGTATGAGGCCCCATTGAAGCTTCGCGTCAACTGTAGTACCGAGAAAAACAGTGGATTCAACTAGACCCAGCTCCTTCCCACTTAAAAGCACACTGGTATTCACCTTTTTAACATCAGGTGTAGTGAATTTAATAGATTTCGTTTTATTACCGTTCAAAAGCAAATTATTGACGTTAAACCAGTGTACTACTTTTGATATAGCATTATACATTTCGTCATATTTCAATAAATGCCTTTTTAGCCGGAAAATCAACGAACTATCATCAGCAAATAATACTATATCATGGTTATTCCCTATCAAGTAAGGTAAGTCATTAATATAAACTAAGAACAGAAAGTGACCAAGAACTGAGCCCTGAGGAACACCCATATATACTACCGATCTGGAAGAACTGCATCCATTAATAACAACTGTTTACATTCTATTATTTAGATATGACATAATAAGTTTAAGTGCTATATTTTTTACACCATAATGATGTAGTTTCCTGATTAATGTCTCATGGTGAACACAGTCGAAAGCCTTGGAAAGATCACAAAATATACCCAAAGCATCTTCTGAATTTTTCCATGCACAGAAAATATGTGATTAGCTCAATGACGGCATCAGTTGTCGAGCGACCCCTTGTAAATCCAAACTGATTGTTATGTAGTAATTTATTTACATTAAAAAAACTTAACATTTGATCTAGAATTATTTTTTCAAATATTTTACTGAGCGTACTGCCAGATTTAAATAAAGGTATAACTTTACTGTTTCATTAAATCAGGAAACACGCCAGATTCGATACTAGCATTGAAAATAATATCAAGTTGGGGTGCGATCGCATCTATTATAGATGCAATAAATTTAACAGAAATCCCCCATAGAGTTAGATAGATTCTGGATACTTAACATAATGTCACATACTTTAAGTGAGCAATTCTTGTCCATAATATATTATATATGTAATTGGTTTCCCAAAAACGACATAACAATTTGGATGAAATTTAGATAGTTTTACTTATCAAGTTTATCTATATATATTATCCCTGGCAAAATTATTTCTTTTTTGTAACGCAGAACAAAGATCGGTTGCCTATGTACTAGCATAGAAGTTGATAATATTTTCATCTACTAGAAGCATACAATCACTTCCAGTCTCACCTATGGTACCGGGTGTACCGTGACAGATTTACGATTAGTAAATGAAACAAATAGATAGTAGATGTGAAGAAAAATTATGTATTGCCTACCAAATCAATCTTCACACATGAGGGTTTTACTTTTTAAAGATTATGCCGTCTAAATGTTTTCCGTCGCGACGTACACATTCACGGAACCTCTCGACACAATTCCGAGCGACGCGTTGCAATATTGATTGCGGAATAGCATTCACTTCTCGCTGGATATTTTCTTTTAATTCTAATATGTTTGTTGGGTTGTTATCATACACTTTTGCCTTAAGATACCCCCACAGAAAAAAGTCCAAGGGGGTGAGATCCGGCGATCTAGGTGGCCACACGATGTCACCATATCGACTTATCAGTTTTCTAGGGAACGGTTCGCGGAGCAAGCTCATGGTGTCTCTCGTCGTGTGAGCTGTGGCGCCATCTTGTTGAAACCACGTATGTGAACTGTACGATTGGTGCTCCCAAAATTTCGGCAAAAAATATTCGCTTATCATGCGGCGGTAAGCATCACCATCAACGGTTACTGTTGCTCCACGGGAATATTCAAATAAAAAAGGCCTAATTATTCAATTCGTTGATAAAGCTGACCAAACGGTGACTTTCGGACTGTGCAGGACTAGTTTGATGCTTTAATCGCGGGTTTGTCCTCTTGGTGCACAATACCGGCAGTTTTGTTTGTTGACAAACCCATTTAAATGGAAATGTGCTTCGTCACTGAACCAAATGTTGTTTACAGTTGGAAATCGGCTTAGCATGTTTCCACAGAACTCCTTACGCGCTATGAAGTCATCTTGTTTAAGAGCCTGCACCAATCGGACCTTATATGGATGAAATTTCATGTCCTTGCTTAAAATTCTTTAGGGTTGTTTATGGTTGAACCAGTTGCTCGGACCTTCTGCACCCACGTTTTAATTAAATTTATACTTGGTCCATCGCTTAAACGTTGAATATGAAAATGTGTACAAAATCATCGACGGGCAATGGTACAGGAATCGTTATTTTGAAAGTACGCTTCTACTGCGAACGCGCGTTGCTCACCAGTCCACTGCGACATCGTGACTAAACAATCCGCATATACTGCAGCGTCGAATGCCACCCCTCCCCGCTCCGACAGGCAATGGTTTAAAAAATATTTGAATTTCAAGTTGTAAATCTGCAACGGTCCAGCCTGTATAAGATGAGATGACAGATTTTCTTACACCGCCACCACCATTGAGCTATTATGTACTACGTACTAGAGGCGACACTGCATTAAGTTACGTTGTGCCATTCAACTGCGGTGATAGTGCCGCACTTTACTCAGTCTATTGAGTTGACACATGCTGTGTTGATTATATAAAAAAATTCTTGATAAAATATGCCATGGTGTGTTTTAGATATTGCACAAATAATTCAAGAAATGTTAGCAAATACCAAGGAATAACTTTTCACGTTTCCACGAAGTTTCAACAAAAAGGGGGAAAATGGAATAAATTCATCCATTTTTTAAACCTCGCGTGCCGAGCATTTATGAATCTAAATAAATATATTTGTAAATCATATGTTATATGTATCAATAAGTTTTGTTACACATACATTTAGTATGTTTTTTTATATTTTACATAGTTACCTTTTAAAATATACAAATTAAATTATCACATTTTTTGTTTGAAATAGCTGTTCATGACATTTATGATCATCTATAATATAAAAATGGATCGCTGAATGTGTTGCTAAGCACAAATCTCGAGAGCAGCTGAACTGATTTCGCTAATTCTTTTTTTATAATATTCCTTGAAGTACAAAGATGGTTGTTACGGAGAGAAAAATTAAAAAAATTGCCTGAAAAAGTCTAAAAACAACAGTTTTCTATATTCCCATACAAAAGATTCGTAATAATACTTAAAAGTCATTTTGAACTTTAATACCATACCATAAAGTTTTAGTGTTAGTGGAGTGATTCTGGGAAGGCAACACAATTGAGTGACGTTAGTATCGTATAAATATTAATGTCAATATTTTTCAATATTTATACGATGGTAACATTACTCAAAAACAAAATTAGGGTTCCGCGCAAAAAAAATTGATGTCCATGAAATCGTAGTAAATTCCACGCGGGCGAAGTCGCGGGGCACAGCTAGTTTATTATAAATATTTACGAACACACTTACATAATGATAAAAAAAACATTGCAGCTTTCCATGGAGTAGGGTAAACATTTGAATCTGTTGCAAGTCCATAAAAAGAGAAAGAAGCGCAGTTGTTGTGATCATGGACCATGCGGATGCACCTGAAAAGGCAAGACATGTAATTAATGAACTGAAATCGTTATTTATGTCACAACCAGTATGTATGGTACTTTTAATACAATGCAACATTTTTCATGCTAAAAATTTTGAAATAAAAATTTATCATACATTTATTTATATAGGTAATCTAACTGTATCTTCAAAACTTGACATCCTCATCCCTATGTGAGTCTCAGAAAAATCGTATCCATATTTGTAGTTCTAAAAAATTCTACAACTGTAACATCCCTAGTACAAACTAGTACACATGTATGAATTTACAGCTTTGGTGTCAAACAGATGAAATCTAAAACCTCTACAGCTCTATTTCTTAAGAAAATACATGCCACCTAGGTAGGCTAGGCTATAAATGAGATATTATTAAATGTATAGTTAATTTTCTTTTAAATCTAGCAACAACTTACTAAATCATATGTTGTCATATCATATGTTGTTGTGAGTCGCGTTTTTGACAATGGCAAACCGCCAGTGAAACGCCATTTATATGTCGAGGAGATGAAAGCAATATGGAATTTGGTCGCTGTGTACCGAAAACTTGGCACATGGGAGCAAGCTATTGCTTTTTCTGAGGAAAAAAGTATGATCCCAGCTACAAAAATTTGTACCTACCATAATAAAAGTACAGTGGAATCCATTTATAATGACATCGAAGGGAAATAACAAACACGCCATACTAAGAGGATGTTATACAAAGCATATTGTAGAAAATAAACAATCTCCTGTTTTTGTTAGTATGTATTTATTTTAATAGAGGGAAACAAAATAGAGATAAATAAGCATAAAAATTGTACATAATAACTACATATGTAATGTATTTTTTCATTCGTGATCACAACCTTGGAGCCATTTTTTAAAATTTTTTGACGTTATCCAAGCTTTACGAGTGCTTGCATTATCGACAGGTAACAATTTAATACTGCTAAAACATCTTGGTTTTTGTGACTTTCCAATAGTGAGCAATTTTTTTTTTCTCTATGCCGCTCATATTTGCTACATGACAGTTATTCAGTCTTTTGACAACTTGCCTCCACTACAATTATCACCTTTAAATTTTAAAGTTCTGTCTGGCATTAATTCATAAAATAGTCTAGTTTCATCTGCATTAGAAATCTCATTATTAGAAAATATTCTTTGTAGATTCGACTACACAGACATCAACGAGCTTGTTGTTGAATTTTGATCAACAGACATAGATTCACCAACGATTTTTCCCGCTACAATGTTATGTTAAACTTTAAAGCGACTTATCCAGCTCGCAGAACATTTGAAATCAGGAATACCAAAACATAGGGCCACTGACAGGTATTGTTTAGTTTCTCATGATTTTAAACCACTGAATTAATGCTTGATCAACATTTTCCTGTTGCAATTTTCGAACCCTCTTTGGTTTCGAAACATTTGAATTGAACAATTCCTTAATCGGGTTCTTGTTTTTGAAAATCGTTGAACGTCGTCAGGTATCACGTGCCTCTCCCAAACACTGCCAAAGGTGTTAGGATTCATGTCGGTCACTATAACCGGACACAATTTACTAAAAATGGGTCACAATAAGTGACATGTCACTATAAAAGAAGTCATTATATCCGACTTTGTTATAGAATTTTATATGAAAACCAAACTTAGCTGTGTAGTTACTTCATGATAAACGGTTGGTCAATACAGGCAGTCATAATAAATGGATGCTACTCTATGTGTGTAGAATACTACACCAATAGAACGGTGGGATCATTTGTCTGCAACCAAGGCCCATGCAGATCTAAGTCAAATTTTCTTTCTAATCAAATCAACCTTTGGCATGGCTAACATGCCAAAGGTTTGAGAATGTCAAAACATGTTACAAATGTTAACAATGACTCAAGTATTTTACGTAATGTATGCATATGCAAATGAGTGGAGTTATGATATGACTCTAAAAGAAGATTATTCAGAAAGAGAACATTGTTTATCTAGAGAAACTATTAATGATTGGTATAATTACTGTTGGGAGGCTGTCACCATTTATGAAATAGAGAAACAAAGTTTCCTGGAAAAAATTGGCTGTCCAGAAAAATTTGTCCAAATTGATGAAAGTAAATTTGGAAAAAGGAAATATAATAAAAGTGAGTTATGGCTAAATGCATGCATATAGTTAACGACCTGGAGATGATATAAGCTAATTTTTATCAATAAAATTTAATCTAATACTTAATCTTGTTTTAGGCCAGCACATTGAAGGTCATTGGGTGCTGGGCATGATCGAAAATGACAGTGAAGATTTAAGACTAGAAATTTGCCACCAAAATGTGCTTTCTTCTGAAGTTTTCCTTGATTCAAAAATGTGTGGCTGAAGGCACCATCATCCATACTGATTTTTGGCAGGGCTTATGATGGGTTAGAAAATTATAGGTACATACACAAAAAGATGAATTATAGTGACCCCGAAAACCCTTTTGCGCAGCAGACGGCACCCACACTCAAAGAATTGAGTCTCAGTGGTGTATCGTCTAAAGATATTTTACTAAAGACAACTATAATAATAGAGAAAATTTTACTGACTTTATATATATTTATGGAGAAGAGAAATTATAAAGAATAAAAGAGATCCTTTTGAGGAATTAATAAAAATAATAAATTATGTTTACAGACAATAAAGAAATGATTATAATATACTGCGTTTTATTTCTGAATTGTTTAAACCTACCCAGAAATACTTGAACACACAGAAATACTTTCAGTTGTAATAGGTTAGAAGGTTGTGCCGGGAGCGAAGGCAACCTGACTTTATAGATAAGATATCTAATCTAATCGAATCTGTACTAAAATTAAACCAGCATGCCCCAACTCCACGTAGTCTTGTTTGCCTTACTCCTACAGTGATTTTGTAAAGAAGTAGACGTGGAGGGAGAGCAGCCCCCGCGGAGTAAGGGGCTGCACTTTCTGCAGCGCCAATGCCATTGTAGAATAAACTTTAGGTCAATATTCCTGTGTAAAGGTTAAGATTTTACAAAAAAAAAACACTACTCATAAACTATACTTTTCCACAAGAAGGGAAGGGTAGAGGGGCTTTCCCTGATAGGGCACACTCCTGCTCCCCTCTTCCCCCTCATACCGGAGACGATAAATGTTATTTTGATCTATGGGATTCTCTTTTTGATTTTTTTCAAGAACGGTGTATTACCTTTTAATGGGAGTGGTGTCGGGAGTAAGGGGACGCTGCCCCCCTCCCCGCCCCTCCTGCCAAAAGATTCTAAATTTCAACCGCTCTGTTATCCCCTTCCATTAAAAAAAATTATACCTAAATGTGAAGCATAGAAATTGCCACAAAATTATGATAATTTCAAAATAAAAAAAAATGTATTCCTAGGAGGAGGCAGAAGGTGTCCGCCCTACTCTGGCCCTCCGAGAAGGAAGAATTAAATGAAATGAGAAACTTGCCGCGAAACTGAATCAAAGCACATCACTACTCTTGATTGGCATTTAAAAATGTATGGGATAACTTAAAAATAATACTAACCGGTTGTAAATCCCAACGGTAGGCACAAAAAATCCAGTAACATTATTATCATTCGTGACTACAGGTTGTCCAATTAGCCATTTCGGCGTCATAATGCCGGTCAATAATAACATAAAAGCAACCAAACTCAACAACAACCACGCCAGACTGCGTCCCGTTATAATAACATAGCACATTTTGAATAGTATAAAAAACAAGAAGTCAGACTATCTAATTGCAAATAAAATAATTATTTAGTTTTTTGAAATCTTATTACTTTTAATTTTTTATTTCCACAATCGCTCACTCACTAACTGAACAAAAGGTAAATAAAAATATTCAACTATAATTACAAAACATGACATGTTGACAAGGACAACATGATTTTTTTTTATTAAACTGGTTTTACTGCTCTGTGTTCTAGCCCTTCTGAGCCTGAACCTGGGACAGCATGACCATTGACCACAGACATAGACTAATAAGAGGATGCAGATTATTAATACATGACATGTTGTTGCAAGGAGGTTGTAAAACTCTATGTTGTAAAATATATTATATTATAACCTCCTTGTGTTGTAGTTACGATTTAAAAATTTAGTGATTATATACTCTTTGCTACGATGACCATACAGCCTAATCGGATACTCATTTATCATTTTTTTTTAATTTTACTGTTGCGTCGCATTGCAAAGTTTTGGGAGATTATCACGACAACGTAAGCTACCAGAAAGTTAATTACTAAGTATCTCCAGCTGCGTAAGCAGTTAAAAAAATCTTGAGATTTATTTAACGATCGAAATACTTATAACATCGTTCTCACTAATGATTATACTCAAAATCGAACCACTTTTACATTAAAACATTTCAAATAACAATAAAGGAGCAACAATTAGCCAGCGGTCAAGTTCCCGCTAAAACCCTATAATAATACAGACATTTAGTATCCATAGCTACAAACAAAACAATACAAATACATGATTAACAAAAAAAGAAAACACTCTTTTAACTCAACCACATATTCTCAGTTGAGCGTATACGTACGCAAGTACTCTTCTTCTCCCGTGTACATGCGCTAGGAGAAGGCGGACGTGCAGCTCGCAGAGTTGGATGGTTTTCACGCAATAAACCTTTGGACTAGGTTTTTGCCCCAATATATTGTTAGTGTAACATTTCATTTTCACAAATCTATTTTTAAGTTTCATCATTTTTTTCAGGTTTTTATTGCAAAATGTTAAAACAATATTCATGACCCAAGAAACACACTGTTTGACGAGTCACACGAAGATGATGAGACAGAACCGGTTATATCATCCATGCACCATAAAATAAACACTGATCCAGATACAAGTAAACCAGAAATTATAGCCAGTATCATCATACAAAGCTTCAAAGTCTGAATAAAAAAAAGAATCAGGAAACTTCATCTAGGACTTCTTTTTTTAGGTGAAAATGGCGGGGATCATACCCGTAATGCTCGCGTACTGTGAAATATACCGCCAGCGCTTAGTCCCTGAGCCATCAGTAGCTGACACTACATTTACGTATGGAAATTTATTTTATTGTATCGTAAACTTATAGTCGAATTAGAATAACCACTTAATGATTAGGCTTTGTGGCATTACTTGGCTTACTGGGAGGCCTATGTGCAGCAGTGGACTTGTGAAGAGCTGTAACGACAGTGATGATGATTACTAAAATTACTCAAGTATACCTCCATTGTCAGTGTCAGACAAAACAACGATATAAAAAATAAAAAAAAACACACACACAAATATAGCCACAGTCCTTCTTATATTGTTCTTCAAAAAATCAGTCCAAGTTTCGGGTACTTAAATAGAAAAATGTGGTGTTATTTATAATCAATATAGAATAAAAAATATTTTAAAAAAACAGCACGTGGCTTAGTGATACAAAGTTAAGCTCGAATCCCAGTTCAAATTTACATAATATCTTTTACTAATAAATAATTGTATTTCGAGGTATATTTTCGGTATATCACAATAAGTCTGAGCGAGATTAGAATGGCTCTCCAGCACCTTAAAAACGGGAAGTCCCCGGGTGAGGATGGAATTACAGCGGAGCTTCTGGAAGCGGGTGGAAAAACGGTATTTAAAGTCCTTCAGAAGCTCTTTAATTCCGTCCTTCGTGGAGGCACTACCCCGGAGGCATGGAGCGGAAGTGCGGTGGTCTTGTTCTTCAAGAAAGGCGATAACGCTCTCTTGAAGAACTACAGACCGATTTCCCTTCTGAGCCACGTCTACGTGCTGTTTTCGAGAGTCATTCCGAATCGTCTCGCATGCAGACTCGACGACTTTCAGCCTCCCGAACAAGCCGCTTTCCGAAAGGGCTTTAGCACCATAGACCTTCGGCAAATTGTACAGAAGTCCGAGAAGTACAATTTGCCACTATGTCTGGCGTATGTGGACTATGAGAAAGCCTTTGATTCCGTCGAAATTTGGGCGGTTCTGCAGTCCCTTCAGCGGTACCAAGTGGACTGTCGGTATATTGAAGTGCTGAAGTGTAAAGTTTGTACAGTAGAGCTACGATGGGTATCCGAGTACAGAACCAGAGTACGAAACTTATCCAATTGCAGATAGGTGTAAGACAGGATGACGTAATATCCCCGAAACTCTTCACCGCTGCATTGGAAGACATTTTCAAACTACTGGACTGTAAAGGATACTTGCAGCCAGAGTCAGTCACGCAGAGATCCTTTGCATACTCTAACGCGATGAACGTGTTAATTAAGATACTTTATAACCACAAGTGCGACATAAAATATAAGATAAAAGTTTAATTTTATAGCAACTAATAGTAATAATTCTTATTTTTACACATGTAGTACCTAAATTTTATTGTAATAGATCTAAAGAATTATTTTTCGAATAGAATTGCTTGTCCACCTACTTCATTCTATAGGTAAAGTCATTTTATTAAACAAAACTGATAGAGTTCCAAAGTGTTACCTATGTAAATTAGACGCTAGATGGCTTAAACACAACTAATTTAATATAATATTCTATCTCATTCTCTCGCAAGTTAATCCTTTGCATACCATCATCAGTACCAACCAAAATCCAGTTTTATCCCTCTGTGCCGCACAGCTTACCAGGTCGTCACTCCATCTAGTGGTATTAAAATTGTTTAGTAGTGAATTATTCGTGCAGTTACAAGATCAGGTAGCTAAACTTGTTTTTTCATGAAGGTAATTTTTAGTTTTACTTCTACTTATGTACTATTTATATTATTAGAAAAATCCATTCAACTTTACAAATAATTCACTAAATTTACTCACGACATTTCCCATTAAATAATACGATTTGCAGAACTCGGTCCACTTTTAACGGTGATAGAGCCACGCAGCAGTTTTTGCTGTTGCATGTATGGGCCGGCTCGAGCCGGGTTGGTACCACGACCTCACAGAATACCGGCGTGAAGTAGAAGCTTTGCTTCTGTGTTGCGTCTGGTGAGTGCAGGTGGCCGGAGGCCCAATTCCCCCCCCCCCCCCCATCAACATGGTAGCGGAATTACACGAAGAACTACCCCAGGAGGGTACCAGCACCCCTGGAGAATCCCTCGCTGAGCATCCACGACCATGTTATTCCGATCCTGAGCGTGGGTGCTCAGGCTGCCCCGCGTATTCTGGGGGGGCCAAAATTCCGCTCAAAAGCATTACTGCTAGGGGCAAACTGAGCAAGAACACCAAGGCGACCCCTGCCACGCTATCCGTGAATTTCTGCAACATCAGGGGACTTTACTCTAACCTAAACGCCGTCCACTACCATCTCGAGACGGCGAAGCCGGCCTTGCTCTTTCTGACCGAGACGCAGGTTTCCTCTCCAGCTGATATTTCGTATCTCTCCTACCCGGGGTACAAATTGGAGCATTCCTTTGTGCCTCGGGCTGGAGTTTGCGTGTATGTCAGAGAGGACATCTGTTCTCGACGCCTCGGCAGTCTTGAAGGTTCGGACCTGTCCATCCTTTGGCTACGCGTATACAGCGACGACCATCCGCGCGTCTACGGGTGCCTCTATAGGTCCCATAGCGGTAATGCCGAAACAGACCGACTCATCGACCACGTCCAAATGGCTGCAGACTCCGTGCTACAACAGGTCCCATCCGCAGAGATCGTGAAACTCGGTGATTTCAACGCCCAACACGCTGAATGGCTTGGTTCTCGTTTAACCGATCATGCGGGGAGATCTGCTTATGACTTTGCCTTGGCATATGGTCTGACACAACTGGTTACTTCGCCTACGCGGATTCCAGATGTGGAGGATCATACACCTTCCCTGTTGGACCTTCTGCTGACCTCTCATCCGGACGGATATCAGGTTTCCGTCGATGCCCCTCTCGGCTCTTCGGACCATTGTCTGATCCGGAGTGTGGTGCCACTCACGCTCCCTTCGCGGTTGCGTTCTGCAGGTTGCCGCCGTGTTTGGCATTACAGGTCGGCGGATTGGGACGGAATGCGGTCCTTCTTTGCATCCTACCCATGGGGGCGGGTTTGCTTCTCGCCGGATGATCCCAGCGCTGTTGCTGACTCTGTCACTGATGTGGTGCTACAGGGAATGGAACTATTTATTCCATCATCTGTGGTACCCATCGGAGGCAGATCTCAGCCTTGGTTTGGTCGCTCCTGTAAGACTGCATTACGCAGTAAGCAGGAGTGTTATCAAGCCTGGGCTGCGGCTTCGGCGACTCGGGATGTAAATACCAGCACACTTAAAAAGAAGTATAACTTCGCCTCCAGGTCCTTCAAAAGAGTTATTGCCAAGGCAAAGTCAGAGCACATAGGCAGAATTGGCGAGAAACTAGTTCGCCTACCTTCGGGAACCCGTGCATTCTGGTCTCTCGCCAAGGCTGTCCAAGGGAATTTCTGTAAGCCATCACTACCATCTCTGCACAGGGAGGATGACTCACTGGCCCATGACGCAAAAGACAAAGCCGACCTTTTAGGCTCCCTTTTTGCGTCCAACTCGACTCTTGATGACGGGGGGAAAACACCGCCGACCATCCCGCGGTGTGAGTGCTCCATGCCGGATGTGCTGTTCTCACAGCGCTCGGTTCGCAAAGCACTGCTCTCCCTGGACATCCAGAAGTCGAGTGGGCCTGACGGAATCCCCCCAATTGTGCTGAGGACGTGTGCTCCGGAGTTGGCACCGGTCCTAACGCGTCTTTTCCGGTACTCCTACTC